ACGACATAGTGTCGCAACAAGATCACTTCCACATACTCTTGGAAGGTTAATGAGGTGCACTGTTGATACCACAACATAGTGTCGCAATAAGATCACTTCCACATACTCTTGGAAGGTTAATGAGGTGCACTGTTGATACCACAACATAGTGTCGCAACAAGATCACTTCTACATACTCTTGGAAGGTTAATGAGGTGCACTGTTGATACCACGACATAGTGTCGCAACAAGATCACTTCCACATACTCTTGGAAAGTTAATACATCGAAATCTATTATTATAACAAAAAGAAAAAGAGAGGTAGAGGTGGAGGGATTATCTTATACACTTGTACTTCAGTTGTTTATACAGCCGATTTTCATCTCAGCGGATTAATTCACGTTTTAGACACATTTTATGAGAACGTTATGTCATTGTCTTTACATTGTCACAACCATGTTTTTTTTTATCTGTGCGAGTGGTAATGATGGGCGTTGCAAGTTGTTGAAGCATTAATGGGAACACGTTCACTATTCACTGGTTAATCGTTTAACTTAATTCGGATTGTGATGGATATTCCATAGAATCTGACATTTCAGAGCAGCCAGTTCAAGAGTAGAAAATTCTACTAAATCTGAACTTATAAGATTATTATAATATTAGCATTACCCATTACTGTTTATTCTCCGTTAATGAACTATGTTTTAAAAGTGTTACATCTAGCAGAAAAATCTGTTACAAACCAATCATGTGAGTCTGAGAAACACATGAAATTTAAGTTGTGATGTGCCATGAACTTGTTAATAGAGGTCGTAAAAATTCAAAATAACTTTTTTCACTGTCTTCCTTACTTTTTATCATAATACGGTAATCCAGAGTACGGCTTTATAAAGAGAATTCAGTGAATTGTAACCTCAGTTTCTACAAGATAGTCTTTCGTAACTGTATTGTCATTATTCTGTGTAACCTTAGTTTCTACAAGGTAATGTTAGGTAACTATATTGTCATTATTCTGTGTAACCTTAGTTTCTACAAGGTAATCTTACGTAACTGTATAGTCATTATTTCTTATTTCTTAATGTTTGAAACAAACACAGCTAAGATGATAATGAAGTGAGTGAAACAAGTAATAAGATGTATAACTCAATAAAACTTAAAAGAAAAAATTACCTAATTAAACTCACTAAGCCGATATAATATTATTTGTTTCTGATGAAGCTTTATTGCCTTTAAAGTTTAAAATGTCACTAGACGGCGATACGAGCTACGTCAGTAATTACTGGCTATATAATACATTTAATAACAATAATCTAAATGGACACAAGGTAACTGATATTTCTGTTCAATCAATATCCATATCCAATATGTCCACACTTTACACTTATAAAGCTCGTGTGATATCCACGTGTTTCTTCTCCTCTTAATATTTTCATATATTATTACGGACTTTCAACGTGTGCATTACATGATCTTATGGAATGTTTTGTTGATCATACTCAGAAAATGATGAATTATGAATATACAGTAGTTTTCCTTAATTATTTTTAGTGATAATGGTTCATACCGATTTTTTTAACTTTTAATTAATTTGAAGAGTATTTTCTTACATGCTAGGTTTTGTAAAATTCTAAGTCAAGTAAAAAATGAAAATATTTGGAATCAGAGTAGTTCCTACTGTAAGTTAGTTTTAGGTTTCGAGTTTTATAGTTGGTATATAAAGTTCCTGCAACAAACGAAAATATTTCATTTTCTAGAGAAATAATGATTTTGATGCAGCCAAGTCCTGTAGAATAATGTTTCTTGATTTTGACGACGTAGCTGAATAAAAATTCACTTGGAAATAGCTTGTCTTGAAGAAGTTCCGTTTTAGTAATATAACTCCACGTGAATCTGACTATAGTTACTTTTGTTACAGTCTCAGCAATGTGTATTGTCTTTACACACACACACACGCATTTCGTTGCATTGCCTTTTTGGGCTGGGCGTGGTCAAGAGTTTAACGTGGTGGACAGTGAATCCGCGGTTCTTGGCCCGTTGCCACAAGAAACGACAACATAAAATCGCGCTTCTTATTTTGGATCCGTGGGAGTGATAAAGAAGCAGGAACAGACTTGCAAGGAACAAAAGGAGGATACTTTTATATATGAAAGAAAACATTTTTTGCTGTGTTACTAGTTTTGTCTTTTTATTAACCTTTCGAACCTTCTTTAATCAGCAAATTATGATATCTCCACCTTTCTTAATTGCATATAACATATTTTACACCCCCTCCCCCAAGTTTAAACTTAGAGACTGGCAAACTTTTAACTCACCGAAAAAAGGAAAGACAAAAATCACTACCGGCCTACACTGTGCTGATGTCATTTCGAGTGAAACTGGGGTGAGGGGGAGTATAAATATTTACTATCTTATGTTAATTGTTAATTTGTAATTTGACTAATTTAACCTTTTGAGTTGCATCACTACAGGTCAGTTTTTGTCATTTGGGACTGGTTCATCGGCAAAATTTCCGGTGAACTTCACTGCCAGTACAGCTTGACAAGTTAGGCCCCCTGTTTTTTTTTATACATAACACGTTCCGACAACTGCTCAATCCTTGCAAGTAATCCTTATCACGAAGTTCCGATAACTAATCATTCACTCTGAATAATTATACCGTTTTGTCTTAGCACGTTTGACAGCTGCTCAATCCCAGCAAATACTTCTTATCATGAAGTCCGGTAGCTGATCATTAATTCTGAAGAACTAAGAGTTTAGTCGAGATGCCATTGCGTAAAATGAAATAATAAACTTGCACTAACAATCAACGTCTTTCAAATGTTCGTTGGTACAAAGAAAGACGTGTAATGAATTTGTTATTATATATTTATTTCAATATCGACGTTGTTTAGATTCAGTTTGTATTTAAAAACCTGCATAGCTTGTAGTGTTAAATAAGTATTACGAAACTCCTGCCTATTCTCCAAAGTTGTAGAAGATTGTCGAGAGTAAGAATCAACAATATATGTATATACGTAAACACTTAAATTGTATTGTTACGTAAAACTGAATTTTCTAGAAAACGTTCCCACGCCTATAAATATAAATAACGCGCCGCGCCAAAAGAGTGTCTATTAGTAGATCGTAATAATTGGTGTGCTATAAACTTCGAAAGCTATAACTGTGATTTTTATAACGCTTATCAATCGGAAAACTTTAGATACTTGACCAGGAATATTTACAAATTTCGAACGTTACAAATCGTTTAACTTCAGTGGATTCTCATTGGACATCAGTATTTTTACGAAAACATTACCCAACTTCAAACTCGGCGCGTGTGTCAAAGGACAAAGCTAGCTAGCTTCCCGGCGAATCGTACCGATATCAACTCGTAATTAATTCGCTCATCGTGAACCCTCGATAAGATAAAGGCAGTTCCAGGCTAGATAGAAGATTTTATATTGTTTATAAGTTTGTGAAACTTTTGTTTATCAATCATTGTTTGCAATAACTATTTGTAATAATTGTTATTGTAAATTGTATTGTTTTGTGTATATTAAAACGTATATGTGTTAAAAACAAAAACGGTGTGTATCAATCTTGTTGGCAAATATCATAAATTGACTAATATATCGGCAAATATTTCAATACTAAATCCAAAGTACAATTAAACTACTAAATTTAAATTATCAATTAACTCGGCTTCGGACTATTCGAAGTTCTAATACGTAACAGGCGGTATATTTGGTTCGTTCTGTTTACGAAATTTCAGCCCCTTAAAAATTCTAAACTTAAGTTCACAATATAAACACCATTTCCACTGCTATTACGCAGTACTTCACTAGATACAAACCAAAGAGAGAAAAGATTACGTTTAATATTTCACACCTGAAATAGATTTGTCTAACTGTTTTCGAAGATTTTATAAAGACACACAATGAACGATAGTTTTATAGAAAATACATCTTATGAATTCTAAAGAAAATCCATTTTACTTAAATTTTTTTTATTGTTCGAAAATTTTTAACGTGGAAATCGAACTATACGTATGAATTTAAGGAAACTTGCTTAAATTAACAGCTTATATCGAAGTTCAATATAAACAGTTCTGTAATGCGACTCGTCAGGTAATGTCTTCATACGTAAACACTATGTGGACGTAAAGTTATAAAAAATACTTTTACATTTCATTCCTCAACCTCATTCTCGGAAGATAACAATAATAAAAGGAACAAACACTGGAGATACGTGTAAATCACAGAAACGTATTTGGTACCTGAGTAAAAATTAGAAGCACGACCTATTTAAGTTTCTGGTGTGTTATAAAAAATGCGATAACAGCGAGGATTTGTTTTGCTATCACTGTAGATTATGAGTTTTCCCTGTGAATAAAAAATAATTAATTTGAAACTTTTTCGAAAAAATATTTATTATTTTATATTATTGAAAAATTTTTACATTTGAACTTTTCCACTGTTTACTTACTACATGCACGATAATTAAAACGATCTCCATTTAATTTTTTTATCTCATCAGGTAAACAACTTCCGTACAAACGTAATACTCCACGTGCATGTATATTACATTTGAACTTTTCCACTGTTTACTCACTACATGCACGATAATTAAAACGATCTCCATTTATTTTTTTATCTCATCAGGTAAAAAAATTCCGTACAAACATAATACTCCACGTGCACTTGTCTTGTTTAGGTACGTTCTGAGTGAATAACCCAGCTAAACCTGAATTAAATTATCCGACAAAATATTAAAACATGCAAGATAAATGAAAACCAAATCATGTACATAATCTATTCAAGTGTCTAAAATAGTAATTAACAAAATACGTTAAAAAACTACTTACATGAGTTCGTTGTTTTCGAAGATAATTTCGCCCTCAATACTTTCATAGTCAACTTCAGCTTTTGCAGTGCTGTTTAGAGTCCTAAAAGGGACCACCACTCGACCTCTTGCTCCATTATAGCGACTAACTGGGATGTTGCACGTGCCGGAAGACTCGGTTGTCTCGTAATGAGTTTCGTTGAAAGCGAAGACACCACTATGGTCATCGTCCAATATCATTACCGTTGCTATAGAGGGAGGTGCCAGCTGTAAGGATGGACGTTGTCCCAGTCGTAGACCACCATCAGATCCCAAGTAACGAGGGTTGCTGAGACGAACGTAGAAGTGTTCGTCTTCTTCAAAAATGTCATCATCAATTATCGAGATGAATATCTGTTTATGGACTTCTCCTGGGCGGAAGACTAATGTACCCTCCACTGGCTCGTAGTCGGAACCAGCTTCTGCAGTGCCATCTTCCGTATGGAAGTCCACGCAAACTGTTTGACTAGGGTCTCCCTCCCTAGAAATAGTTACAGCGAACTCCCCAACGTTCTCCATTACAGTGTAATGGCCCGGGTTGAAGAAAATGCGAACTGTGTCGTCTTTCACTTCTACTACGTCTTTTTCGATATATTTTTTCTTTACCTCGTGTTTTTCTATCTTTCGTTTCATCAAATTGCTTCCCCCTGTAAGTTTTTTTGTTGCTTGTAAACGGTAAAATGCTCTGCTCTTAGGTCCTTTGTTAAGAATTTCTTCTCTAGCCATCATCTCTAATTGTTCCATGCTACAGACAGGATTCTTCCGCCGTAGTTCACGAAGAATTTGGATGTATTTCCTTCTGTGTTCCTCAAACTCCCGGATTTCGTCATTCTCTTCCTCATCAAATACTTTTAACCCTCCATCAGCTATATGGTTAGCTTTACAAGAAATCCCCATCTCCACGTTTTCCCCCTCTCCTCCGACAATAACCCCTCTTCGATTCATCCTATACTTTTTGGGTAGAAATTTATAAATCAAAAGTCTTCGGTCGGCGATGTATGCGGTCAGGACAATAACTGGAAAAAAAATGAAGGTGGTCAAGCCCTCCCAAACTTCGATTACGCCATAAGATGACCAGGTCAAAATCAGATAGAGCCAGACGTATGCAAAAATACTCCAAATCATAGTTACGAAGAAGACTGGTAAGTGTTTGATCCGTCTGCTTTCGTTGTTAGGAATTACATAAACACATAAACCTATAATAACGAACATATTAAAAGCTGCACTACCAACAATGGTTCCAGGTCCCAGCTCTCCCGCCTGAAAATTTTGTCCGTAAACTTCAATAATCGAGAGAAGGATTTCTGGTGCAGATGACCCGAGAGCCATTAAGGTCAAGTTCGAAACTGTTTCGTTCCATATGCGCACGCTAATAGTATGTTTTTCTCCATTAGGTTTTTTTATTACTACATCCTTCTCTTTGGATGTAATTACTTCAATAGATGCCATAAACCGGTCGGCAATGATAGAAATCCCAACGAACATGTAGCACAAACCAAGGAAATAAACAAGTCCTCTGGCAATGATGTCTCCAGTACTGAGATTATGGTTCGGCAACCATAATGGAATTATTAATCCATTTTTACACTTGGTGGAGTTATCTGCTTCTGCTGGGAGAATAAAGATGGCAAAAGAAATTACAATTATCCAACCCGATACAGGTAACCATGTGGTACAATGCTCCAATGGCAACATGTTGACCTCACTGATAGAAGTGTTGAGGGTGACAGTATAGAAAGACTGGTATTAGTTTAAACATTTTAATGATCAGTGTTCTACTCGTAACCCACACAAACTATAAATCAATACCAGTGTCTACTTTTTCTAAAATATTTTGCAATTACTGAATAAATTTGAATCGTTTTATTTTTTTAATCTCTAATGCACGTAAACCTCGGATGTAGGATGTACTTCACAAATGGCTTCTTTATACATCTTCTTGGCTGACCACTTCTGATACAACACGTACTTTCACATGCAAACGTCCAACAGACAATAGTTATTGTTGGTTTTCAAGTCACCTTTTAGTCCCCTAACACAGAGAGAACATAATGTAAGAACAGTAGTATTTAATTTCAGAACCTTCTAGAAAGTGATTTATAACAAAACATCTCTTGTTTGTGTGCAGTAATCTTGATAATGTTAAAGAATGAAAGTCGCGTCATTTTGACATCAATATGATGAACTATAAGAACAGAAGATAGCTATAATCTATGTTTATGTTCGAGATAACATGGTATTTCCTCATAGTGTGGTCTTTAATATAAGTAATTATTTGCACCTCTTCTTGACCCTAAACCTCATCCACTTTACTCACTCGAAACAATAACTATTATCACTCAAGTGCGTATCGCTCTCAGAAAACCATGTGCACGGAAAGTGGGAGGTTTTTTAATCTAAGCAATAATCCCTTGTCACTGTAATGCTGAAGTCTTTAATCTTTAATCATCTCAACGCAAACAAAAGAATATCTTACTAGTCTCTGAGATAAACAAAGAAAGAATTTTGCTTAACTAGGGACTTGATATTTATGTTTTGATACAAGGCTAGTTATAAAGAATCACACTCTGATCGGACGTCACAACAGTGAGACACTTAACGACGTTTCGCTACAGAATGGGAGAGCACGCATAGTTAATATTATACACATGTAGGTGCGTTTTCAAACATAATATAGATACAAACACGACACACACACACACACATACATATTTCGTTTCGTTGCAAATATAAATTTTCGCATATTTGATCAATGAATGAATGAACTTACATTTAAAACAAATATGGCGCTGCTTGCTTAACCCTCATCCAAATTGTTCTCTCTTGATTATTTAAAGCAATATATCTTTATTATCCTGAAAAATAACCTAACGAATAATTTTTAATTAATTATAATAAGGCGTTGGATTAAAACGTAACAATTTCAGTGAAAACTTTACATTACTAGCGAACCCGTGGGCCTATGGTCCACATTTATGGTCCTCTATAATGCCCATTTAATGCTTGAACTACTATTTTGCACTATTTCAGATTAATTATCATTGCCGTTATAATGCAAATTTAATTTCTTTAGCCAAATTACAAACGGTAATTAGTAGGCCTACTTATTTATGTGCTCTAATGTAAATCAATGCCTAATTTGGTGTTCGTTTTCGGGGAGTGCCTGTAAAAGTGGTTTCGCGAAACACCCGAGTTCTCTAAGGGATTTGGATGAAAAGTTTTACCTTTGTACAAACTTCAGGACCGAAACGATTCATTTATTATTATTTATAAGTCGGTACAGGCACCGACTTAGGAGGAGTTACGTGACACACAGCCATAGATTCTTATTATATAGATGTTCATTATCTGCAGTTTTTGCATTATGTACCCATGTTGGTAATCAAAGATTTAATATGAAAAATTCACTTACGCAGAAAAATGTCTACTGATAAGAAACGTTTTAAAGTAAATTGCTACAGAAAGAGACCGCCGCTAAACATATTTAAATTATAATTTTTAAAACCTATGTATTCGACCAAATGATGTATTTCTATATACCTCAAGTAAGAAAAAGAAATGCTTCAATACAGCTAAATTAGTTCTGGACGTTTCGGTCAAGTCAATCTTTATCAAATGCTCGAATATTGCAGTAACTAATAAAGTACGCTCACAAATGCAGCATTTGGCTTATAATTTACATTAATTTCGCGTATTATATGCAAACTGCTACAAAAACGAGGAATATATAGAATGTACAACTGAAGGAAAAATACCCCAATTCAAGTTAGAAAAAGAATATCGGGTGCATATAAAGTGAGATTTGAACATTTTTTAAAGGATCAAGTTTTTTGGCCCTGCATGGTCAGGTGGTTAAGGCACTCGACTCGCAATCAGAGGGTCGCGGGTTCGAATCCCTGTCACACCAAACA